TGAAATTAGTAAAAAAAAAAAAAAAAAAAAAAGAAATAGATTTTTGGTAACCATGAACATAAAAAATTAAGATGTTTGAAAGTGTAAAAAAAATTAATGAAAAAAAAACAAACTATCGTCTGCTGAACAGAGGGTTCGACACGGAGTGATTAATAAAAATTAAAAAAAAAAATGTCATTAAGCTACAATCCAACCAAATAAAAGTTTTTTTTAAGAGAATTCTAATTCATGATCAGTTTTTCCAAGGCAATTTAAATATTTCCTTGTTGCGTACATCACATTGTTATTGTTTTTTCCCTTGTACAATGGGCAAAAATGCAATTAACAAAGAAATGGTACTTAAAAAAAAAAAAAAAAAAAAAACTACGTCGCACAAATATTCTAAAATAAAAAAGTGACAAACTTAAAATTTTTCCTGCTTTTAAATCAGTGTAAACTGGAAAGTCTTAAAAAAAAGTCAATCAAATGATGTGATTTTTATTTATTCTTCTAAAAAGTTAATTAATTTCATTCTTTTTTGTGCGTGTGTAAGAAAAACGAGTGTAATATTTTTTTTTTAAAAATCATGAAAACCAAAACAAATAAAAAAAGAAAAAAAATGCATGATTAATAATTAGTCAACAAAATGAACTAAAATTCTAACCAAAGTTCAGCTTTTATCACTAATTTTTCATCATAAATGCCACCGAGAATCATCCATATTATTTTTTAGAGTGAAATTGAAAATAAAAAGATTTTCTTTTACAGGGCATAAGATGTCACTAACGAACTCAACTAAGAAAAAAAAAACAATAATAAACAATGCAATCCCATATTTTTTAAAGAAAAATAAAAACCTTTAAAAGCTTTTGAAATATAAAAAACAGACACGTTAAAAAAAACTTGTTGAAACAGCAAGAAACTAAACTAAAAAGAGAATTATTGCATTTACTGAATGAGTGAATCCATGAAAAAGGACGAAATTAAATATTAATAAAAAATGAATTAAAGTTTAACATTCAGTCAACGTTGTACAAGTCATAAAGTGAAGTGTCACTCACAACCCATCGTTAGTATTAAACTTAAAGAATCAAAACAGTTTTAGTTTACTTTAAGACATTCAATAACTGAGTATTATTGACAAGTCACTTAGTTGAGATTGACAATATCGGGTTCTTAAGAAAATTCCATTGCTGAAGAAGTCACAAGAAAAGGTGTTATTTAAAAAAGTAAAACAGAAAACTGAACGATATTTTTACAAATGAAACATTTATTGTACAGCGACAAAAATAAAATTTGCTGTAACAAGTGATTTTTAAAAATCTTATTTTGTCTAACCTTGCATCACAAAAACATACCTATTTTTATTTTATTCATAAATAAATAACAGCAGGTTCTTTTAGAGAGGGAAAAAGAGACATTTTTTTACTTATCTTCTTGTATGCATACTATGCGACTGATAAGTTTCCATGCATAGGCGCTACTGTTAACACTAGTTTAAGTAACACCTATTTTAATTCTGGTAGAAGATATTTTTATTTAAATTTTTTTCATAAAAATATATATATATTTTTTAAATAGCAATACAAAAAGAGAGTCATACTCTAATTGCTTGATTTGGGTGCTATGACATCGGGTAGCGTGATAGTCTGGTTGACCATTTAAGTGCTGAGTTCGATTCTTACAGGGTGCCGCATACTTGTGCCAAACTAAACTTTCAACCATTCGAAACCACTACTAAAAGTTGCTTTTATTCTTGCTTGGGCATATCATAGAGGCGTTAATGGGGAATGCTAAAAATCTTTCCTCAATCAATAACCATATGCTAAAATTAATTATTAAAATGAAAGTAAATTATCCTTTTACAATTCCTTTGTTTCTCGCCATTATCATGAGCATTTGTTTACATACTAACAGGAAAAAGACTTCATCACTAAAAAACAAAAACAAAGAATAAAACACAAAATTACTACTTTCTCGGAAACACCTTTTTTGCAAATGTGATCAAGTCAGGCAGAGTTCAAAAATCATTAAAAAAGCTAACTCATAAAAACTAAACTTTGATAGTGGCAATTTTTAAAACAGATTTTCTTTGTTTTCGTTTATATTTTGGGCGACAATAGTTATTTTTCAGACTACTTGTAATAAATTATTCATTAGATTCGTTAGTTAGTATTTTTTATATGTTAGCCACCTTCTTGATTATCTCTTATCTTATTGTAAGTAAAATATTGTTACACTACACTAGTTAAAAAAAATAATTAATCGTTTTTAATTTCAGCAAAAAATAAAACTTCTAAATCTATTTGTAAAGAAAATTATTTTTTTGAAAATTATACGTTTATTCATTGTATTATTGTTAAAAATGAAAAAAAATTATAATGAGCTTTTTCAACTTCTTAGTATTTTTTATCTACTGGAAAAAAATCATTTTTTTTTCTTTTATTTCAGGTGAATCATCACTTTTTAAGTTTACAGTGCTAATCAAGAGAATTGTTTTATTTTCAACATTTTGTCTCCTCAACAAATAGGAGACTTTGTTTTGTTTTCAATATTTACAGATTCCTAACAAAAAACAAACTTATTTATTTATGCAGTAATATTAATCGAACAATTGCTATACTGATGGCAAACTACTCAACTATTTTATTTTTTTACTAGTTTATACTTGCTAAATAAATACCCTGATTTTACTGGGCGTGAGAAGGTTGCAAATTTATGTGTGAACTTCAAGCAAGAGGTTCTCATTCATTAAATGCACGAAATGATTTTCTTCATCCTGTCAAGAATCGATCGACCACCATGGTCCGTGTTTGGGGAAATTTTCATTGAAAAGAAGCAGTGCTAGAATTCTGGATATACGAAAGAACACTAATTATTTTGACAAGAAATTAAAATACTTAGAAAAGTATTTAAAAAATATGTTATTGGAGGGACAGTTAGCATTTACAAGAAAAATATCAGTGGGGGGAATTAATGAATAAAAAAAACTAAAAAAAAAAAACAAAACAAAAAAAAAACAAACCATTCATTATTTCCTTTATTGACAGAAATGTCTTTCTTTACTTAATGACCCGATCACACATAATGAATAAAATGATAAACTACAGTTCAGTCAATCTCAAAACTATATGTTTCAGTAATTTATGTTAAGGCTGTAATTTTAATAGTTTTATTAAATTTCATTGTTTATTTCTTATTGTTATTAAGAAGAGTTTTTTTTAGAGATGCACGCCTGGCAGATTCCTACTTCGAGGCAACAAGAGGACGGGTTTCGCTTAAAATAAATGCAAAACAACACTAACAGAAATTAAAAATTCAATTCGATAAGACCCCTGTAATTGTCAATATGCTAAAAAGCAAAAAAATAGACTTAGCTGAGCATGTTCGGGTCTTTTTAGTTATTAAGGGGAAAAAACAGTTTTGATATCTTTTTAAAATAAATTTGATCACGTTTTTCTTCTTTCATTATGTTCTGACTTCACGATTTAAAAATTTAAAAACATCTAAATAAATTGAGTGAAGGTAATAAAAAGTACAAAAGGCGTTTTTATTTAAATTTCAGCCTAAAAATCTTCAAACGCACACAGAATATATAATAATTTAATATATATTATTTATAAACATACATACATACATACATACACAAGCATGGAAGAAGAAACAATATCGTCACATAGCATATCTGCACAAAACAAACATTGGAAGGAGGAAATTTACAAATTAGTTAGAAATTATTTTTTAAGACAATGATTGTAATTTGCAGTATAAACAACAACAAAAATCACTGAGTAGTCTACCAACTCCTTTAAGTTTAAAAAAAAAAGTCAGAGGAAAGTAAAAAAAGCCTGTTTTCGGTGTAGTTACGGGTGTAGGGTCACAGATTCGTCGTGTCTATGAGAGCATGATAAACTAAAAACAGATTCGTTAAACGATTTACTGACTCAGTAATAATATATTAATTACAATAATTTACTTATTAATTTCAAGTAATTTATAATAATAGATCAGAAATTGAATTTCTGAGAGAATAGAGACCCGTTTTTCTTAGAAAATACAAGATCAAAATTGAGGTATCAAAACAAAAAGGTAACCATTTGTCAATATCGTCGTTGTAAAAAATGTTACTGTATATTTTATAGCAATTTAAATAAAAAGGTTTAATTTAATGACATTCAGCAGAAGTGTAAACATAAGGCGGCTCCTGCTATTTTTAAGAAAGGTAAGAGAAGACCCCAAAACCCGTGCTGTCAGCCAGATACGACTATCATAGAGACAAAATTTGAAATTAAAATCAATGCCTTTCCAAAACCCAGATATGTCTACTCTGATTTATTATATTTTTGTGCTTTTTTAGGAAAAAAAATCTAATTTCTTGAAATCTAAGTAAAAAAGTAAAAAACATCAACTTTCAAAATAAATCCATTGTGTTATGTTACGTTTCATTGCGATAAAAAAAAAGGAAAAAACAACTTTTTATCTGTCGTTTGTATGAGTCCTTTAACTTTAGGACCAGGTTTTAAATGATTTTTTTTTAAAAATATTTTTCTTATTTATTAAATCAGTGCGATTTGGGGTTTTCGACGAGATGAGAAAGAGACTGAACCGTTTCCAAATTAACAAAAAAATGTCATTCACAGTATGAGGACGGCTAAAAAAAAAAGAAAAAGTACCTCGTGTTTTGTGCGCTACAGTCGTCGTCCACACCAAAATAAATAAAAATAAACAAATAATGAACTTAAGAGACGAACATAAAGTGGGGGACCGATTTTAAAATCAACCCAAGAACTCATTTTACTATAAGCACGCTCTTTTGTGACGAAGCTATCACAAGGAAGATGACCCACCTTCTCGCATAACCAGCTCAACTCCATAGTTAACTGCATTTGTATCCATAGTATCCACAATAAGCAAGATTCCAAATGAGGTGCGTGTGTTAAAGAACCAGCCAGAGCAGGCCAAGTCCACCGTACACACGTTGTCAGCTTCGAGATGCAAGGTTGACTCACTCGTCTTCCGCCATGTTGGACCACCACAACCCGTGCTGCTGCTGCTGCTCTCTATACCCTGCGTCTCTGCACTCACTCACTATTATTAGTTAATCTCTTTATCGCTCACTCGTGATCCTCCCTTAAAGATAATATATTTCTCTCTTTTTTTCTCTGTTTTCTTCTCTCTTTTATTCTTTGCCCGTCACTCTTTCGGCAGCTTCTCAATTGTCCTTCTTCACTTATTGTCTTTCTTCCAAATTGCTTTTTTCTTTCTTTCTGTCATCAGGGATTTTACTCCCTCTGTCTATTTCTCCTGCACATTCATCTTTTAACTTGTTTTATAACTTTATTTCTCCCACTAAACTAGTTATCTCTCTTCTCTCTCACTGCTTTCCTTTATCTCTTCTTTCAATTTTATCTCTCATTGCTCTATCTCTTCTTTTTTACTTTACTCGTTCTCTCTTCTTCTTGCTATCATTGTTTTCTCTATATTTCTCTCTCTCCTCTCTCACTCATCATTTATTTTCGCTTTCTTTCAATCACTTACTTTCTTATTGTCTTCTCTTAATCTCTTAAAATTTAATCTCATGGTTTCATTCTTATACAAAAAGCAGTCTTTTACTTCACCTGGAGTTGAATGAAATATATCCTTCTTGTTTATCAGTTTATAGTTTGTCTTTCTTTCTCTTCCTATTCCTTTTTCCATAAACCTCTTTTTTATTACATTTTCTTTTCAGGTATTTCCTTCAGAATTTTTTTTCTTTTTCTTTATCTGTTTTTTTTTTCATTCTTTTTCTTCTTTTTTATTATTTTTCCTTTCCTTCTCCTCTTTTTTCGGTAATCTTCTGCCATCTTTGCTTTTCCTTTTTCTTTTTCTTTATTTTCCTTCTTGTCTTCCACACTTTAAAATCATTTTTCAGCATTCCTCAAATTTTTCTCAGTTACTTTCTGTATTTTTTATTCATTTTTAATTTTTTATCCTTCACTTTTTTATTTTATCTGCAATGGGTTCTCTTATCGCTTTTGCTTCTTCTCTTCGTTGATTACAAGATGGAAAGCAATTCCTTGTCTTCAGCAAATAAAATATAAAATAACTAATGTAACTTTCTCCTCATATTCTTTCTGTTTTTCTTCACCTACAAATAATTCTCTACCTCTCTCTATCTCTCTCTCACTCACACACAGAAATTCTATAGAGGCATTTACTTTATTTATTTTAGCCTGGCACAAGACTACATGAGTTTGTATCCAGTAAGAATCTGTCTCAAGGTTGTAATAGATACATATTTCCTGTTGGTGCTAGAATTTTGAATGCTGATTTTCAAGGCAGGCAGACTGTCCTCACTTAGATAAAGATTAGTGTAAGACTATCTTTCTACTCTTTTTTAAGCCTCCCACATCTGAATTTTTGCTGTATTAAGCTAAATCTATCTACCTATCTCACTCTGTTCATATCTATCTATCTATCTATCTATCTATCTATCTATCTATCATGTACCAAGTATTTGAAAACACACTTTTAGCTGGATGTAAGTAAAAGACAAACATACAGCCAAATCACATTGAAACACCAGTTCTTGTTCAATCACTGAAGTTAAGCAATATTGAGCTTGGTCTATACCTAGACGGGTGACAGCTTGGTAATACCAGGAGCTCAAAATCCCTACCGGCACAGATTGGGTCAGCATGATAGGGTAATGGTCCACTCCTCCCCATAAATGGTATAGGTGAAAAGAACTGAGGATGGCCTGCGTCCAATAAAAGGACTTTCACAGGCTGATTAAGAAGTAGAAGACAATGTAATGTTCTATATCAGTTGCATTTATAGTGACATGGGACTTCAGGGTTAAAATGAACAATTGATTTACCCACACCAAAAAGAGTAATAAATGATGAAAAACACATCGGTAATTTTAACAAAACAGGATAAGGAATTTATTTACGAATTTACACACTTGATGTTGTGTCAGTAGCTCATTTCAGGAAAATAAATCAGAAATTTTTAAAGTTCATACTTTTAACAAATTGTCATGAAGAGGAAATGCTCATACAACAGATTAAATGATCTGATACAAAATAATATTCAAAAATGTTTAAAACAAATGTAAGAGAGTTTGTTGCTCAAAGAACGGATATCAAGATTGCATACATTCAAAAGTAGACGAAGAGAGATAGTTTGAAATACTTAGCTTTCTTGGATTGTTGAAAGAAAGTTCTTTGAAGTGCTAGGTACTTGGTTAAAAGCCAATAATGTAATTGGCAAGTAATTTGACACTGGCAAGAACTTGAACACTGGATGCATGAACAGAAACAAAAAATTTTCACATGACTTCAGACATTTTTCTCTTGTTAATTTAATTTTTTTCTCATTTTATATCAAAAAGGATTTCACACAGGCTCACTATTTTCTTTTCTTTCTTTTTCTTGGCTCAATGGCTAATTTCTGTGAAGGCAAGGTTTTCATTGGTCCAAAAGCAATTTCATATAGGCTTGCAAATTTATTTCTGTCTTTTCTCAGCTTGCCAGACAATCTCTGAGAAGGCAAGCTTTTCATTGGTCCACAGAAAATTTCACATAAGCTCATGAATTTCTTTCCATCTTTTTCTTCAGCTTGCTCAAATTTGAAGGGAGTGAGTAAAGGGTGTTATTATTATTTCATGCTCACTACACATTAACATGGCAGCTTCCAATCTCAAAGAACATAAAAAATGAAAAGGTACACAATACTCATGGTACTAGGTGCCAACTACAATAACTTCTTAAAAGGGAACAATAATACTGACAAGTGATTCTGCAAAGACCCCACAGAGTTACCCATTGTGGTACATACCAAGTTCATGTCATATTTTGATTGTCTTGGAAGTTATGAGTAATAAGAGCCATACCACCAGTGGTTTGCATTGGTTCATGTGAACTGATTCTTAAAATTATAAAAGCTTAGTGAACTAGTTGTTGGATTATCCAAAAATAATCTTATATATTAATAGCCAGTGGTCTAGGTAAAATTTTAGTTACACTATGCTTGAGCACACCTAGTGAAACTCTAATAGACACATACCCCCTAAGCAATAACTCCCATAGCATAAATCATAAGATACATGAATTAGTTAATATTTTGAACCCAGATTCTTGGAATATAGAAGATGTAGTTCCCTGGAAAGATGCTGAAAAGAAGTTACAAAACTTTTGTAAAGTATTTCACCATGATATCTCTATTAATGATTTCTGTGATTACGTTAAAAACATAATGAGACATTACCATAAACATGTACCCAAAACTATCCAAAGAGCTAAAATATGATTAATACATTGATCCTTATACCAGGACTAGCAACGATGCAACTGGGGGTGGACATGTGGAGACCTAAATTACTACTAAATAACAATTACAGAGAACATTTTTAGCAAGGAACTTGTTAGTAATGTCCAGTTAGTAATGTAATTAGTAACTATATATAATATTAGGAAGCATCCTACAATTATTGACTTATTTCATAAATACAGATATCAGTCAGTTGTATGCTATATGTTAAACACTCTTAGGCAATAATGTGTCTTTCAATACATGACTGACGAGGCAGATTTTTTCCTGCAGTAGGTTGCCATTTCTTTCTGCAGTAGACCATTTGCCATCCAAGGCTATAGAACCCAGCCCATCCTGCTATTTACCCATACAACTGGGAGAAGTAGAGGATTCATACCTTTCCCAAGGTTATTAGCACATAAGTGAATGCAATGGATTCAACTGCAAACATACAAGAACAAAAATACCATAAAATAACTAAATGTACAAAAATCACTTTATTCAGCATAAATTAGACATTTTTAGCTAATATTGCAAAAATAATGAGCCATTGTTCAGTGGCTAAACTAGTATCTTTTGTTCATGATTTCATTCTTTTTCCTCGATTACCTCACTTCCTTTTTGCCATTTTTTCAAAATTACAAAGAAATAACAGATGTTCATCATCTAAATCTGATATCACCTTTTTCAGTGGATCATTTTTTTAGTATCACCATAGATTTCTTTGACACAGACAATTTTCAAAAATTTTAACTTTTTCAATGAAACTAACTGTTTCTGTAGTATCTACCCCATTTAATAATGGGTGTGTTTTAATGGTAGCTACAGTTTGATCACGAAACACCTTTAAACAATGGGAAAAATTTTGTTGCTCAACAGGTTTTGGATAGTAAACTGCTACATCAGTTAGTTTCAACAGCTGAACAAATTTAGTTTTTTCATACTCAAAAGACCTTTTACAATTTTTGCTGTCATCTTTTTGCTTTCAGAATGAAATAATAATTCAGAAATAGTTTCAGTAATCCAATTATTCTGAATATTTTTAAAAAGGTGAACATAACAAAAAACTAAGTACAAGCCATTTTTAGTTATCCAAGGCTTATTAAAAACAATGTCATATTTTCAGAAAAAAAGATTGATGGGTCCTGTTATTGTCACATACAATTGCAATTACTTGACCGTTTGATTGCATCAACAATATATAAAAAATTTTCATATAAAAAAGTTTTCTCTAATTTTGTAACTGGGATCATTTTTAATTAAAATTTTTGGTCCACCATTTAAACATTTTATCATGATGCCCAATAATGTTTTTGCTAATCTCTCAAAATTTTTAGCCAAACCAAATAAATTTCCTCCTCCATGATATTGTAGAGCAACTTTAACATACATGTCATCAACTAAAAGAATACACTTTTTCTGATTTTCAGAAATTTTATTAAAAATATCACCAAGAAAATTAAAATCATCTAATTTTGAAACTCCTGATGTCAAAGCTGATAATGTTCTCACACTGGGTAATTTAAAATCATCTTGAAGTCTGTTATATAATGACCAAGATGTAGCAAAATATTCAAATGCCCTGATAAGAATATCAGAATCATAAGGTTTTCTCCTGATCTTTTGTGGTGACAACATTAATATGTTCTTTTAAAATTTTTTTCTTAACAATTTTTAAGTTACTAAGATAATGTATTGCTTCATTGATTTGTGACCAGTGTTGAAACATTAATATTTGACTTTTTCAAAAAGAAAAATATTATTGTATATATACCAGCATAGTAACATTCAAATCTCAAGTATTCAAAAATTTTAATTAAAAACATTGATGAAAAAAGTCAGCAGATTGGATTAACAGCTGATTGTTTGATTCATAGCATGTAACTGCTGAGACAAAATCCTGTTGATCAAAATTCTGATACAATTTTTCAAAAGTGAGGATTTTGTCTTTTCCTAGAAACTGTGCAAACTCATCATTTTGCACATTTCAACACAGAAGCAGAAGATTTACTTGTTAGTTTGGGTTGATTGTCTTTTGGTTATATTCTAAGGTTTGGAGGGTTTAGGATTCAGAATTAAGAATTTTAAAGTTTGTATGAATGTGGGAATTTGTTATCTTATGTTACTTTCTGTCATCTTTAAGCAATTATGTGGTTCCAAAGGATTTCCAAATTGTTTCACTGGTTAGGGTTCATTTTATGTTGAAGTTGCATAGTGAAATGAAATTCCCTCATTAAAATTTTAGAATAATCGTATTTTAGTTTGATTGATCACCCATAAAATATGATTATCTGAACAAAATTAACCAGTTTAATATTTTTACAGTATATTTAAAAAAAAAATATTAAACTGGTTAATTTTGTTGTTTTACACTTTTAACAATAAGCTAGTAAAATTCAACATTTTTTTAAATATCATTGTGTAAATAATTATTTTTTTAAATCAATGTTTATTTTTGTTATATTCCATGCTAATAGGAATATATACTTGAAAAATAAGGTGGATAAAATAAGTAAAGGTTTATTGTAAAAAATCAGTACAATAAGAATAAAGGTAACAGTCATGCACAATGTTGTCACAAGTCAATCCAGCAATGAGTGCTACTATTGGTAGGTCGGTAGTTCTCGTATAAGTCTGAGTCGTACTCAACAGATCCCAGCTAGAATATTTAGCTACCCCCCCCCCCACGAGGGTTGCATGTGGCACAAGGCCGGTTTAATGTGTGTTCTCCAAGCCCGTAGGCTCGGCCAAAAATATTCCCTTTCAAACCCGTATAAACGGGTTATGGGGCAGTCTACCTCCCTGAACGAGACTGCCATTCGGCAGAGCCTGAAGGCAGAGAGTTTGACTGTTTAGCTGGAACAGGTTGCAGCTAGACTCTGTAGTCCGTTGACTTACAGAGACTTATAGGTTATTACTACCTATAGTGTAGTCACTCATGGGGGTGACAGGTTATTCCTTTACAGCAGTTATGAAGAATAATATAGAAAAATATTAAATTAAATTTTTCTTAAATTTTTCCAAATGTGCAAATTTCTGTATAGTAATTTTTGAAAATTAGCTGTGCAAAATTTACATTCATGTTTTTGTTTTCTTACAAGGATGGTATCAACATCACATAAAGAAAACACAAATTATTCCTTAAAAAGTGAATTTTATAATCAAGATATTCATAATTATGAAGAATAATAGAATAAAGAAAAAATTAAATTAATTTTCTGTGAGAAAATTCTTAATATTGATGTTTTTTTGTGAATTTCACTGTTTAAAATAATGAAAAAAATGTAAAAAAAGTGGAAGATGATATAGGCAAGACAATAATGTCTTTACATTTTTGTTTTTGTGGTATATTTTTAAAGTTGTAAAATATTAAATTTATTGAATTTAATTTTTGACATTAACTTTGTGATAAATTCTTTAAATAAGTAAGCATCATTTTTCATTAATTTCACAGTGAAAACCATTATTTTTGTTTTTAATGACTTCTACAGTGTAACCCGGATATAAGAGACCCGGATATAAGAGAGATTTTCTCTGGTCCCAAATTAGAGCCTGTGTTAATGTATATAAAATAGACCAAACCCGGATATAAGAGAAACCCGGATATAAGAGACTTCTTCTCTGGTCCCAACAACTCTCTTATATCCGGGTTACACTGTATATATTTATGAATGACAGAAAAATTCAACATACATTTAAAAATATACCTGTTTGGTCTGATAAAGAAAAACAAATTATTCATAAAAAATTAATTTTATACTTAATATTGTTATTGTTCAAGGACAATAGCATAGAGAATAATATTAATTTATATTGCATATAATGACACTTGCAAATTTTGTATCAAAAAAATTTGTTTAAAGATAAAATATTGCAAGTTCAAATAAAATAAATAAACATTACTTATTTCAGTATCTTGAAAGATAAACTTAACTTTTCAAAAGTAAAAATTTCTTTAAAAAAATTTAATTTCTTAATCCAAATCCAGCAATGAATTTTCACGCATTGACAGTTGGCCCCCATTGCCTGAAGAGCTACATGTGCTGTATAGGCCTGAGTTAAAGATCACCTTGGATTAATACCATTGCTGTAAGTTCTGTGGAAGCTGAAAAGGGTTTTCTCTGATAAACACAATTTATTCTGCCAAAAGAAATCATCTTGAAAGTTAAAAATGTGGCAAATCCTCTAGACATAAATTTGATAGGTCTTCCATTGGATCTTTGTGACTAGCAATTCAGTTTGAGTGTGGCTAAGAAACCATAACACAGCTGATGACACTAGAGTCAAAAAGCATCATACTTCTGAGCAGAAATATAATGAGAACAGAATTTCAATCTGAAAATATTTTAATAAATAAATATTTTCTATTAAATTATCAAAATATCTAATTCATGATTTGTTTCCATTCTCAGATTGAAAAGAAAATAAGCAGAATAGGTTCCTAAAGATTAGTTGCCTTTATAGAACCAATGCCTGGAAATTTTGGGATGACATTTTTGTATACCATCCTACGTCTTCCTACATGCTACCTTCCACATTGTATTTTTTTGTTTGATTGATTTTTTTTTATTACTAATGTTCCCCCTATACAAACTCAAATTTGGTTGGTTAATTGGTTGATATTGTTTAGGACTTATCAACCTCTACGGGTTATTTAATGCCAAAATATTATGCACACAATTTTATGGCTTCTACTAAATACATTTTGAATGCAATTGTATCCTTTCAACTACAAGCAAAATGTATTGTTGGTCATTTTGCTATAAAATGTATTGTTGATTATTCTACTCTAAAATGTATTACTGGTCATTTTACTTTATGTATTGTTGATCATTTTACTATAAATATATATGTTTAGTCATTTTATTATAAATAGGTATTGTTGGTAATTTTACTATAAAATGTATTACTGGTCATTTTACTTTATGTATTGTTGATCATTTTACTATAAATATGTATTTTTAGTCATTTTATTATAAATAGGTATTGTTGGTAATTTTACTATAAAATGTATTACTAGTCATTTTGCTTTATGTATTGTTGATCTTTTACTATAAATATGTATTTTTAGTCATTTTACTATAAATAGATATTGTTGGTAATTTTTTTATATAAAAAAATGTATTGCTAATATTTTTACTATAAAAATGTATTTTTATGCTCTCATTGTGTTTTGTTTTTGTTTGGGGGTTCACTATTTACCCATAGTTGTGACCCTAACAGGTGCTACTATTCTAGGTCAGGGTGGACCTGGGGTCAACAGCAATTAAGAAGTGGTTCCACACTCCTCAAAACCTTCAATCTCTCAATCAGAGGCCTTGCTGCTGGATGTAGTTTATCATCATACCCAGGACTAGCCACTCAAGGTGCTGAAGGAAGTTGTTATATGGGATATAAGTGTAAGAGGTAAAAGTTGCAGTTTATGAGGTGATGTATAAAAGATAGGGTAACCCCAGACTTGAACAGGTTAAGATTGTAATGGCCAGGAAAGCATCCTCTTGGAGTAAGTTCAACAAAATAGCAATTCATGAGAAAAAGAATGGAACTTTTTCCTAATGGAATATGAAGAGAATGAGGGTGGTTTGCATCAGTGCATGATGGGTCTTAGCTGGGATGGCTAGGGTTAGTGGAACTAAGGAATGTAGTTCATCGAAATATTTCCCATGGAAATGGCAATAGAGTAAGCAAGAGGCCTGCAATATTTTGTCAGTGGGAAAACGGTGGAAAATAGTTAATTATCCACAAGGCTGTGTAGACACTTTTGAACTCTCTTAAGACTGGATAATGAAAACTGGGCCACTGAAAGTCAGGTATAGTAACAGTACTCCATTTTTAATCTGACCTGGCTCTTGTCAAGACAAAGAATATCAGGAGGAGTTAGGTATTTACTGGAGTGGTACAAGGAACAGATAATTTTTCCATCATCTTTAGTGATGGATCATATGAGTTTGAAGTCTGTTTAAGTCCCAATAGGCATTCAAGGTAAATGACCCCTTAAGAGAACACGTGTTCATCACAATAGTTGAAAATTCATGATCTGCTTAGTGATTATGGAACATTATTAGTTTAGTTTTTGAGGTACTGAATGTAACCAGCCAGTTTTTCTCTTATTGAGCTGTTAGTGTTCAGTCAGAGAAGAGTAATCTAGATTTTGGAGGTGCACCCATTCTCTTGAATCATCTGCACAGGTATTCACTAAAGATCAGAGTATTCTCTTAGGTAGATCATTCATATAAAGCAGAAAGAAGTTAGTAAGACCTGAGGGATGCCTGTATCGATCACATGGACTTTGGAGGACTGGCCATTAACAATGACCTTCAAGAACTTACCTGTTAGAAAGGGCTTGATAATTGAGAAAACTCTTCCAGTGATTCCATAACTTGTGTAGCAACCCCCTATGCCACACCTTTCAAAGGCCTTTGACATAGATATGATGACCATTGTGATGTATTTATTATCTAATGTCTCACTGATTCTGTGAGTAGTGACAGAATATCAGCAGAAAACCAAGCAGAGGAAAATCCATATTGCTTCTCATTCAGGACGTTGCCCCTGTTGGGGTGATCAACAAGCTTCTTGTTGATGATAGCTTCAAAGAGTTTGCTGATTGACACTAACGACGCTGATGGGTTGATATTGTGATGGGGATAAGTGCTAACCTGCATTCTTGAAAACAGGGCATATACTTGACACTTTCCATGGACTTGGGTTGAATTTCTCCTTCAGGCAGTAGTTAACAATTATTAGAGATATTGTGGGGTTGCTATCCATCTTCCAGTCGGACTCTGATTCTACCACATGACCTTGGATTGGCCAGCCAAGAATTATAATCATTTTCATTCATAGCACTATGGTGGAGATTTAGCACTTCACCCTTTAACTCCTCAAACACTTTCTTGGCATATGCTAATTTGTGTGGAGGGAGTCGTCGTGGCCGTGAATATGCTGGTTGTCCGGTGGTCTTTATATGGTGTTGGGTCTGATGGTCGCCTGCATCAGTTGGTTTGATGGGTTGCGTGAGGTGCTTGTACTGGCGCAGGATTTCTACGTAGTGGGGGGTCGTGCTGTGTTGCCACGCTGATCCTAGTTGTGTTGAAGCTCGATGGGATCCCTGTGATCTTGATGGTTGTCATGTTGTCGGACAGGGTCCTCGTCTTCATATGGACAGCCAGGTTGTAATGTGCCAAGAAGTCGGCACCAAGCAAGGGTATCCTGACGTCAGCTACGGTGAATGACCACTTGAAGTCGCACCTGAGGTTGATGTTCAAGGTAAGTTCCTTGTTCCCATAGGTTTCTATGGTGGAGCCGTTTGCCACTCGAAGTTGGAATGGGGTGGGTTTCAAGGCAGATCTATTGGTTGGTGGTATTACGCTGATGGCTGCGCCAGTGTCAACTAGGAAGTTGAGGCCATTGTTACGGTCCCACACGTAGAAGAGACGACTGTGTGAGCGAGTACCAACAGGGATTGTCGTCGCTGCCTGTCGGTCTATTTGTTTCCCTGGGCCTTATTTAATGCTGCAGGGAGGGTGGCACTTGCGGCTCGGTCACCGAAGGTTTGGTGGTACCAATATTCGTCCACACTGTTTCTCCGTTCTGGACTTGAGCTGCGGGTACGGCTTCGATTTCGCGTGCGTGGTGCTGGGCTTCGCTGCCTCCAGCATAGGGAGAGTTTAAGGTCTCTCAACTCTGCATGTAGTTGGGTCATCTCCTCTTCGAGGCGTTGTGTGTGGTTCATGTCAAGGGGCGTCTCTACTGGTACCAGGGCTAGAACTTGTGTTATATTCGGTGGTAACCGATCCATCCATAGCCCTCGGAGGATGGGTTCTACCATGGTGTTGTTCCCGAGGCGGCTCTTCATCAGGCGGAGGAGCTGGGATGGTGTCCTATCGCCGAGAGACACATTAGAGAATAAGTCCCTGATGAGGTCCAGTTCGTTTCAGGATGGCTTCTTTGAGGCAGGTGTATGGGAGTTGGTCCGGAGTATTGAGAAGGATGTCTTCCACTTCTTCAACAATTGATGCTGGTAAGGCTTGTACCATGGAGGCGGTATGTCGTGTGACTTTTCGTGCTGAAAATATCGCCTCAAGCTGAATAAACCAACTTCTGGTGTTGATCGAGTTGTATGGCGGTAGTTGTATCAGGGCGGCTGATGTGTTGATTTCTGTTTCGGTGTGTTCCGCCATCTTCTCTGCTAGCCGTTTGCCTGTGTCCATAAATCACGTCAGGGTCACCACTTGTTGCAGCGGGCCGAGAGGTGTGAGTGCCAATCGACCGTACAACTTAAACAGGGGACACAAAGCAAAGAGATGGCAATAGCAAAGAAGGATGACAAACGCAGATGGTCCGTTGTAGACGATGGAAATCGTGTCTTTATTTGCGAACGGTGGATGGTAAGACGACAGAGGTCGTTTGTTCGGGAACGGTGTCCGGACGATAACGGGCGCTGGACGTCAGTGGGCACTGGATTAGGACGTCAGCGGGTGCTGGAATAAGTAGCGGGACATCAGTAGAGCACCGCAGGGGTGAGCTGGATGCTGCAGGAGTGAGCTGGATACTGCAGGAGTGCTGGAAGCTGCAGGAGAGAGCTGAAGTTGCAGGAGAGAGCTGGCGCAGGAGAGAGCTCGTCAGAGGGAAGGCAGTAGAAGAGTGAAGTGAGTGGAGCCTCGAAGAGTGGTGATCGAATGACTTTCGGAAGTTAGCCCTGAAAAGGACTGTTTGAACAACTGCTGCTGGGCTTGGTCAACTTGACTGAGCGCGTCAAAGTCGCGAATCAGGGAGGCTTCCTGCTCCCCGAGCCGGCGGTATTTACTTGACTCCCACGAGGTCAAGATGTGACACAAGGTCGTTTTTTGTGGGAAAACCCAAGCGTTTCTGCATAGGGTCACTGGTCAAAGATTGATCATAACATGTCCAAGCTGGTCAAAGCTTAGTCAAGTTCTGTTCTTGGCTTGTCTTAGCAGGTCCTGATATGGTCCAAACTAGACTTTGCCATGGTCACAACCCAGCCCGAAGGCCGGGCTGCTTCTGTGGCTGGCTAAAAACCGCTGTGAAGTCTCGGGGATCTAGATATGACGGTTCATACAAGAGAAAGCGGTGACGCTAAACAAGTAAATGAATATAATTAATTTCGGGCCGTATTAATTACAGTCAAAAGTGTGTTCGGTGTTTGTTGACTGTATTTAAATTAATTTCGGTTTGAAATTAAAAGTCTTTTATTTTTGTTTAGTGGCGAAAATTGAGTTTTGTGTGTTTTTGACAGTTTGAAAGGATGTCGTTGCTATTTTTAGCACACAAGGGCTGTGACCTTTCTCTACCGGACGGCATATCCGGGGTTGTTTAAGAAAAGGTGGGAGTGGTGTTTGGGCACACTGCGACAATGGCATCACAACCTCAATGGGATATTTAATGCCAAGGTTTGTATGAATAGAATAGGTATTCTTTAATTTGGTCAAAATATTGTGAATATGGCAATGAAGATGAGGATAACAGTCCAAATAATGTAAATAATGTAAGAAAGAATGTAGTTATATAATTAAATCTGAATTATGTCCGATGACTGGCTTCTTTTTTTTAAAACTTTTTGTTCCACATCCCTTCAAGACATATGTGACCATAACTTACCACAAATTATTTTTTTTATTAATTGTGAATTGTCAAGACTTCTTGGGAAAGATAGTGGAGTGGTTTTCTGTTGTCTATTTTATAGTTTGGAAGTTAGAGTTTGCTGCCTTTGAGACTGTTTGCGATTCAAGGCTAGAAAGTTCAGTTCACCCTGCTATTTAACCAACAGCTAGGGATTCATACATTTTGCAATGGTATTTGTGTGAAAGGGAACATAACAGCATGAACCAGAATTTGAACTCATTGATCCCATTTCTGCAGCTGTATCTGCTACACTGCATGTGCTTCTGGTTAGCTTTTGGATAGGTAATAGATAAAGAACTGTCCTAGTTTGATAGGTTTCTAACTATAAGGAATGCAAATTTTAAAAATCTCATTAAAAGAAAGTAGATATGTGTCTAAATAAAAATTTAGTTTATTGGGGCAGCAGATCATTATTTAAATATATATTATTAAATATAACAGACAATGAATGTTTATTATGTCTGATCATGAGCTGTTCTAATGTTTGAATGTTTGCTTTAATTTCTGGTGAAAATAAAGATAAAAATTGTCCAACATTTGGATATTTTATTAAGTTGGTCCTAAGCTTTCATGTCTATATAACCACTCATGTGACCTGAAATCTTAGGATTAACTTAATAAAAAAATATCTAAATAGAAACTATATGTATTGGTTAGCAATTGAAGCCAAATTGATAAGGCTCTGCTCTGGTTTGATAGGTTTCCAAAGATAAGGGTTGCGAGTTCAAATCCTATCAGAAACTTATTTTTTATTTCTTATCCATGTTGCTTACTTAATTGTTGTTGAATAAATTTAAAAATCAAAAATGTTGTGATAAAAACTAATAAAACAATATGAAGTAAAAACTATTCATAAATTAATAATGATAGGAAACAACTTGGTGATGACCTCTATGTGCCAGTTGAGACCATGTGGTTTTTTTCTTTAACTCTTGACAATCTATGAACTAACATCACTTACCAGGCATCATTTGATCCTTGTGATTTTGTTTCAATGAAAGGGAAAGTAATCACCCTTTGCATCCCAACAATGCAACAACAATAATATTTATGCTGTATACCCAAATCCCAAGATAGTGTCTAAATACTAGCAATGGTTTAACAAGTTTAAAAAGAATTTCTAATAAGTCTTATTTTAAATGACCAGCCATTTTGAATAATGATCTTTTTAAGCCATCTTCTTGAAGGGGATCATCATCAAAGCAATAAAGACTTTATGTTAAAAAGGCTTAATTCATCATGTTCAACTACCCATGAACACAATGTTTGTCTTTCCATACTGCATGAATATTATAAAAGCAATAATGTAACATAGACAATAAGGAACATTTAAGTTGAATACTCAGACTCCAAGACTGTGTAAATGTCAGCAATTGTTTAACAAAGAATAACTATAATCTTTCTGATAAGCCTCTTTTTGGAAGACTAGATATTTTCATTAGAAATCTTTTGATAAAATCTATTGAAGAAGATTCTCATCAAAGATTTAACTAAATACAAGATAAAGACTTCTATAACTGTCATGTTCTACAATGTATGCTGGGTAAATTTTATAAAGACAATAATAAAGAATATTTAAGCTGTATACCTAGATGCCAAGACAGTGTGTAAATGTCAGCAATGGTTTAACAGGTTTGAAAAGAATGACTGTAATCTTTCTGATAAGCTTAATTTTTGAAGACCAGCCATTTTGAATAATAATCTTTTGAAGACATCACTTGAAGTAGATCCTCATCAAAATCACTGAGATTTAACAAAAAGACACAATGTAATGGATATAACCCCTTTCCGGTTTTGTTGCCACTTGATCTCCAAAAATCATACATCTACTCCTTTATATACCTTTGGTTAAAATGGATGCTGAAGAACCATCCACTGATCATCAAACAGAAACACTTGAGATTTTCCCTTTCAAAATGGGTCTCCATAGTAATACACATGGTATTAAAAGAAAACAAAATTGTTTAAAGTCACTAAAGTATATTACATTTCTTTTGCAAGATATTCTCTTTGTCTTTCATGCAGCATTTCATTCCTAATACTGTTTATGTATCTTGTGATATCAAAGACAGAATTTATTAAACAAATACATCAAAACTTACATACACTTTAATCATTACATATATAGTGACACAGTAAATTCTGGTGGTACAGCAGATAAAATGAAACAGTAATTATGGCTGTATTTTAGTGGCAACAGTATTTAAATCTAGTATACTTTAGTAAAGTTTCAGTTTCTGGTGCTCCTGCTGGACATTTCAGGATTCTGACAAGATTTTGATTGAGGTAATTGGAGAGCCGAGTTCAAATTCCAGTCAAATCCATTACATTCACTTACATGCTAATAACCTTGGGAAAGGTATGAATCTGCTTCTTCTCCCTCCAGCGAAAGGTAAATAGCAAGACAAACCAGGTTCAATAGCCTTGAATGGCAACTGGTCTACCACAGAAAGAAATGGCAACCTACTGCGGGAAAAAATCTGCCTTGTCAGTCATGTATGGAAAGATACATGATCGCCTAAGTGTGTATCATGCATGGCACATAACTGACTGACTAGATTGGCAACTAGGTCCTACCATTTTACTGTTGAAATAGATTAAATACAATCACACTTCTACTCCAGCAGTTTCTTTTCTTGCACTTCCCACCTGTGGAACTCCCTTACATTTCATTGATTCCCTGACAACTACAACCTTTAAAAATTTAAATGCAATGTCAATCACCATATTCTGTCTTCTTGAACCATGTCCATTTTTTGTCCTTTCCTCAATCCTCCCTATTCTCTTTCTCTTTCACTTTCACTCCCTGTAACCACCTGGTACTAGTGGTAACTTGTTCAGCGTGAAATGATTAAAAAAATAAAAAATAAGTGCCCACCATCTTTATCATTACTCCCACATTCCATCAATTTTCCTCATTTTCTGCAGTAAAAAGAATATTAAATTGAAGCATAAAATAAATTTGAGGATTGAGTAACAAACTTTGCTGTCATTTTTTAGCTAAAATTTCTTTTAACAATTCTCAGCACTTTGTTATGCCTAGAAAATCATGGCAGTAATATCACACAAACAGTTTTTGAGATATTCAAAATGGCTGGATACTTTGCCAACAGACCTCATTCTGATATATAATTTTATTTTTATTATTGTGCAAATATGGTTGAATCTGAACTAGTGAATTGATAAAACAACATTTGATCTGTTATGCATAAATATTGTTCTATTATTTTTTTTTTATTAAGGTTTGGTTTTTATTTTCTTTACTTTCTTTCATTCTTTTCTCTTTACTTTCTCTCTTAGCCTTTCTCTCTCTGCTCCAAAATTTACATATCTATATTTCTTACACATTACAATTTCTCCAAACTTTACTCATATATCCTCTCTATATTCTTTTCTTCTTCTTTTCTGTCTCTTTTAATTTCTTTCTTTTAATTTTTACACATCCATATTTCTTATTCCTCAGGATTTTCCTCATCTTTACTTACTTTCTCTATATCTATCTTTTTTATTCTTTTTCCTGCTCTCTTTCTCTGTTCCAATCTTAACATGTCTGTATTTCTTACTCTTCACTTTCTCTCATATTTACTTATCCTCCCTATATCTATTTATTTTTCCTCCTCTTCTCTATTTCTTCCTTTCTATTCCAATATTTATATATCTATTCTTCTATCTCTTCATTCTTTCTCTCATCCTTATTTAAACATCCTCTCTTTCTCTATCCTTTCTTTTATGCATCTTCCTCCTCTCTTTCTCTCTCTCTCTCTCTGTTCCAACCTTTACATGTCTATACTCTTTTACACTCTTCTACACTTTTCTCTCTCTCTCTGTTTAATCTTTACATGTCAATTCTTCTTCTTCTTCTTCACTTTCTCATTTTTACTCATATAGCTTCTCTTTATCTATTTTCCTCCTCCTCTTTTCTTCTCTCTCTCTCTCTCTCTCTCTCTTTCCCTCTGTTCAAACTTTTACGTGTCTATATTTACACTTCATTCTTTCTCTCATTTTTACTCAAATATCCTCTTTATATCTTCTTCATTTTAACCTTTCCATATCTACTTTTCATTCTTTCTCTTATTTTTATTTAAATATCCTCTCTTTCTCTCTTTCTTTATTTTTCTTCTTCTCTTTCCTCATCTCTCTCTTTCTCAGTTTTAACCTTTGCACATCCATATATCTTAATCCTTACTTTCTCATCTTTACTCATATATCCTCTCTTTATCTATTTTTTATTCTTCTCTTACCTCCTCCTCACTCTCTCTCTTTCTCTTTTTCCTTTGTTCCAATTTTTATACACCCATGCTTTTTACTCTTCACTCTTTCTCTCATCTTTACTCATATATCCTGTCCATATCTATCTTTTTACACCCCTCTCTCACTTTCTCTTTCTTTCTCTGTCTCTCTCTATTCAATTCACTTTTATATTGTATGTCATTAATACATGCATTGTTCAGATTAATATTCTCATTCTTTGTGGTTTTTTAGCACAATTTGGAATTGCATTGTTTTTCCTCAGGTAATATGCAATGATAAAAACTAGCGAGGATGAGGATATTAGAAAAAATGGAAGAATGATTATAGTGAATTATCTTAGGATTTCTTACAATAGTCGGACGTGCTTTTCTTTTCTTTTCTTTTTTTTCTCAATACTTACTTTTTAATGAAACTTTACTCTCTTTTACATCCCCTAATATTGATATAAATCTGTTCCTTTTCTTGTCACCACAAATGATGTTTCCATTCTCATTTCTTTGTCTAATGTGTGGTAATAGAGAAATAAATAAATAACAAGAAGACCAAAATTTCAACATATCTAAAAACAGACAGATAATAAAAATCAACACCCAAACAAAGTCATAGTTCGACCAACCAATCAGAAAGCCTTCACAAACAGGATGTAAGAAAAGAACCAAACAAATAACACAAAGAGACCAAAATTTCACCATCTCTAAAAATATAGTTTGACCAACCAATCAGAAAGCTTTCACAACCAGGATATAAGGCAGCAAGCCAATGAAAAGCGAGTGGACTTTTCAAAGCAAATCTATAGATGTGTATATAAACAGATAGAAAATCAGCCAAAACCAGAGCAGATAAATTAATTTTGTCCATTCTCCAATGCTGCAGTCATTGTAATATGCACAGAGACAAAATACAACATTTCCATAACTTGCTGGCAACCTTAGATAACTAACCCATTTTTGCTACATTGAAAACAAACATACCTTCCTTCACTATGTGGTCAAGTGGTGACTGCTACATTTGGATACACAAACACACACACATACACACATACATATATATTTACTGCCTCTGGACTCTTTCTCTGTCTCTCCATCTCTCTTATGTGTCATGACTTTTGCACTTAAACTCATAAAACTTCAACCTTCATCTTAATCTTCTGTATTATTATATTATGATATATAATAATATAAAGATTTATTTTGCATTTATCAACACTCTGTACATTTTCTTTTAACCATTACACAAGGCCAATATAGGACCAAATCAATTATAAGAATACATGGTGGGATTGGATGTTGATGTAAGATAAACGACTCATCCAACTCATTCTGAACCAAGTATTTGTATCTTCTTCTCTTCCTCTTACACTGACCTTCCTAGTCCTTGCTTTGTTATTTAAAATTTACTCTGTTTCTCTTTCGATGAATTTATCCGTTATTTAAAAGTATTTTCATTAACCCCAATTTTTTTAATCTTCATGCCAAACAATGTGATAATGCCACTAAGATGCAAGGAGCTAGTAGGATTGAAAGGGATAAAACCTCTACTCTTGTCCAAAAGGTTGGAGAAGAGTGTGAAAAGTGGGGACAATAGGTGAACCTATCTACTCCAATTGAGGAAAAAAATAAAAAATAAATAGATTTTAGAGTTTAGGCAGGGACGCTAGAAATATAGAGCTGAAGTAGACTTTAGAGGGAACCAAATTCCAAACAGGAAACAAGGAATAAACCTATACTCCTGTTCAAATGATGAATTTAACCTTTTTTTCTTTTATATCAGCATGTATTCATTCTTAATTTCTAATATCTTACCAACCATTTATTATTGATTTTTCTTAGTGATATATTGGATAGTTGAGTAAAATCCTGCTTTCCTATCTGTTGGCAGAACCTAGAATACATCAACTGCCTCTGTCAAAGAGGGGTAAAACACCCAGTAACAATAGATGCTTGCAGACTCAAGTATAAACTCAACTAATGTTTATCTATAGACACAAGTAAAAATTTGATCAGTATTTTCCTATCAACTTACTGTAAGATTAAATCTGACTAAAATCTTTTGTCTCTGGCATGTCACAATATTATTAAGATAACTATCTGCCCAGACAAAAATTACTATAAAAAGTTGTTACATCTATTGTCAACCTTGACATGGTACCTACTATCTGTCCAGGATATGATTACTGTAAAAAGTTGTTACATCTATTGTCAACCTTGATATGGTACCTACATGGCTGAAGACATTTTTATTTTGGTTACTGAAAATACTATTATAGAAAAGAAAATACCAGTGCCTGCCACTCTATGGCAGGTACTAGTAATTTTCCGTTTCAAATAAGATCTTTTTCTGATTCACTCTACATGTCAGCCAGATGTGAATGCTAAGAAAGTAAAACCAAAAATAAAAAAGTTATCCTCTGCGCAGGGGATATATGCATCACATCTGTCCCACAAAACAAATTCACTCAAAAATATAAACACAATGTAAAAGAAACCAGTCATGAAAATTGCAACCAAAGAAAAAACATAAAAAAAGATGATTTTGGGGCCCACCATATTTGCTTTAAGAAAGCCACCTACAAACAACTGAGTCAGATTCATGGCTTTACTAATCCACTCCAGGCCTCTATCAACATCACCATCATGACCTCAGTCAGCCATCCTGACAAATACATCAACTCCTCTCCTTAACAATTCTACCTTTACTACAAAGCCACCTCTCTTGTCTACATACAGAGACACACCAGTTTGTATCCACTGTATCAGCAATACAAAAGAATTTTATATTTATAATTCTTGTCATCTTTTCCTTTCATGTCATCATTGGTACTGTTGTTTCATTTGTTCTTCCGTATTACCATATGTATGTTTATAACACAGGTAATGTGCTAATCTTACAAGCCACTGCTACTGAATTTATGCTTAGGACAAAGTCGGTTCAGATTGACAAATGTTTATTGCTAAATAGATCACAAAATTTCCCTGATGATTTGAGAATAATGTCAACAAATTGTGGCAAGTAATGAAGTGTGAATATCTATTAAAAAAGATGGTAACAACAGTTAATGAGGCCCTAAAATTTATTTCAATTTCATCTGTATCATTAAAAAACTAAAATTTTTCCCAATCTTTCTTTTTTTTTCTACTAAAGTTCGCCCAATACAAGACTCAAGAGCTACTCAAGGTAAAGGATTACTGAATAAGTTGTGTGATATAAATAAGTTGTGTGATATAAATGCAAGAGGAGGAAGTAGGAAGTGATATGAGGTTATGGAGGATAATGAATGACCTTTTGAAAAAAAACAAACAAAATTCAAGTGTTTAGGGAAGTAACCACATGGAAATCTGTTCCACAAAGTAGAAATTCTTGGAAAAAATCTGTCTGAGTGTAACTGCCTCCTTACAATTGCAATGGAGGGAATGAGAGTGATTTCACTTTGTAGATGTGGCATGGACATTCTTAGTTGTAAAGGTTTGAACTGGTGCAATTAAAGAATGGAGCTCACCTGAATATTTACCAGGCTGATCAAATTAAAAGCCAAATCAGAAAAAAAAATGATAAAATCATTTCATAGCATTTATTTTTGCAAGAAAATTCAAAAAGAAAGTTTTTTCTTGTTTTTAACAATCTTTTATCAATAGAAAATGATTGAACCATTTAGATAATATATAATTATTAAAAAAAATTAAACACTCATTTTTTTCTGATAGCTAAAACTGATTATTGAATTATTCTTAAGCTATGCACTATAATGTTAAGATTGTGGTAACCGCTTGTCATTGTGACATACAGTTTACAGAAAATTTATGAAAGAAATATTCTCCCTGTTACAGAGGACTCTTTAATGTGCTGTAATGGTTATAAAGCTTGTCTTGCTTGGTTAATTATGACTGAGCGGTGAGTTTAATTCTCACTGAGTGTGCCATACTTTTAGCCTTGTGCCACGTCTAAGCTTCACTTAGTAAATCTCTATTCTCTCAGTTTTAATTAGAGAAATTTAAATCTAATTGAATACATACCATATTTTCTTAGATCATTTTCATATGTTTTCTGTGATACCCTGAAATAATATGAGTATAACATGTTTTTTTTTTAATTTTTCACCCCAACCAAGGTGGGAGTGCCACTAGCATGCAAGGGGTTACAGAGAGTGGGAGCAAGATTAAAGAAGTATGATAGTGGAAAGGATATATATATATATATATATTAATTGTATATTCATTTTCAATTTGCCTTTTCACAAGGCTACATTTATAATTCCAAGTGTTAATAGTTCGGTGGGCTGCTGTTGAAATAGCCAAAGAAAAATTGAACATCCTTAACAGCAACAAACAGAACATCTGGTCATGTGTGCCATCACAAGCTGCGATGCAATTTTTCACTTCCACATCTCTTATACACAAGTTTGTTGTTGCTTTGTAATTTTTTATGCAACAAAAACAGACTATCACTATTGTTTCGTTCGTGTATTGTTTGATATATTGAAATGTAATTGTCATCTTTGATAATGGCTTATGTAAGCAGAAAGCTTATATCAGATTTAAACATGTATCAGTATGGTGATTTCCTTTCATCTTTCAATGATAATGTTATTAAGCTTATCAGACAATATGAAAGGAACTTACTTAAATTAAATAGACAAAACCTGTCTATATTATTTAATAAAACATGCATCAATGAAAAATTGCATTGCATATATATATATAATATATATATATATATATATATATATATATATATATACACTAGCAGTATAACCTATCTTTGACTGGGTCTTTCATTACTGGGAATTTTTGCTATTTAATTGGAGCAGTTTAAATTTAAAGTCGGCCCACCTGAAAAACAATATTAGTAACAACATTTGGATGCAACTGAGGTAATCCCCAAATGGAGTGGGGGGGGGGATAACAATTTGAAGTGGGTGGGGGTTGACCCTGAATAATATTATTGTAATAATTTAAACTATTTACTTTTATTAAAGTTTTCATGAAAGATATATATTCAAGAACAGATAGTAAATAGTAAAACGTTGCTGAGAGTTATAATGGACAGGAAGTAGTGGAGAACCATTGTCACCAACAATTTGAACTCAAAACCAACACTGAAGAATTATCTATCAAACAAAAAAAATTCATCAAAATCGGATGAAAACTGTGGAAATGCATAAACAACATCTGATTACACACACACATA